CTTCTTCAGCTTCCCTCTTTTTTTTTCTCTTCGCACCTCTCTTGATTAATATTATATATATATATATATATTCGCCGACGATACATATTACGCGCTATAAAGATACACTTGAGGCAAATAAATTTCTCCTAAGATTTACATTTTGAATTCTTGAGAGTTTGGGAAATTTAGTTTGACAGGCGATATAGTAATTGAGCGATAAAAAACTACTTGACTATTCATCCAATCTTAATGTTTCTTAATGGTATATTAAAAGAATCACTTTGACTAGGGGGTAAAAAATTGTTTGAATTTTATAAAATACTTCAAGTTTATTCTTTAATGACTTTTTCAAGAAAATCTTTTCTTTTTTACGGAGTTTCGAAATTGAGAAATAAAAATTAAACTTAACTAAAGACTGCGTTAAGTCTTTAGTTGTTTACTTCTTAAACATGATTAAAACTAATATGTGAATGTTAAAAAGTATAATTTATTAAATTTTTTGGAAGCCACGGATATTATGACTTTTTCTACATTTTTCGACTATTTTCAAAAAATGCTATACGGAAAGAAAATTATATTATATTTTGTAAAAGTATTTCACAATTTGGGGAAAAAAGGCGACAAAGCTAAATTTTGATATTTAAAAAATACTAAACAATGAAATGAATAATATGAAATTTATTTTTTAATAATTTTTCTAATTAAAGGTTCAAAATATACAATTTAAAAGGCTTTGAATAATTGAAATTTTGTAAAATTAAATTGAAAATAATAAATTTTTTCATGTAGGTATTATATTACAATTTTTTAAAATTAACTTTTGATGAATAATTGCAAAATTTTGAAAATAATTTAATTCACAAAAATTTTGATGAAATATCTTCAGGTGTATAATTAAAAATGAAAAATAATGGAAATTAGCTACTAAAAATTATATTAAAATATTCTTGAAAAAAGTAATTTTTAAAATTTTTTCATTATCATTTTTTAAAATTCAATTATTTTCAATATTTTCGAAAATTCAAATACATAGCTACAAAAAATAACATTAAAGTTTTTTAGAATTATTTTTAATAATTTGGAGATAACAATCATGGCTAAAAAATTTTAATTAAAATTCTTCAAAAAATTAATAATTGTTTTTTAAATTATAGAAAAATTCTTTTAAGAAATTTTCATTTTCATTTTCATTTTAATTTTCATTTTCATTTCAATTTTTATTTTCATTTTCAATTTCATAGATTTTTATTTTTACTTTCATTTTATTTTTTCTATTAAGTGAAAATAAAAATTTATCAAAGTAAAAGTAAAAATATAAATCTATTAGTGTGAAATGAAAATAAAAATAAAAATGTTTTAAAGTGAAAATGAAAGTGGATGTAAAAATCCCTCGAAGGGAAAATAAAAGAAATAGTAGAAATTTGTCAAAGTGAAAGTGAAAATTAAAGTAAAAGTCAAAGTAAAAAGAAAAGAAAAACAAAAGTTATGAATAACTTTTTCATTACTTTCTGTACATACTGTTTTAACTAATAATTCACGAAGGGTTCTTTCTTAGCCATCACCTTAATTTATTTATAAATTCTCTTATTTTAATCCTAGCGATTATCGTTTTTTCTCTTCCAAATTTGTTTTTTTATTAGCTTTGTCTCAGTGTTGCGGACAAAACTTCCTAATCTCTTCGGATAGAAACTTAAAACAACTTTAGTGTATTTTTCCAAACGTTTTCCGGAACTTTTATACCGAATTTGGGTGTTTCTTCACTTAAATACCCCTGAAGCTCTTTTGGAAGGGATATTGTACCTTGGAACTTTTAAATCTTTGAAAATCGTTGGCAAGCATTTTAAATTCTTCTCGCAGCTCTCTTGCAATTAGTTTTCTGAATTCTTAGAGGAAATTTCCAATTATCTGGAGTTTATTTAAAAGAAAAAGACGAAAGAAAAATTACCAACGTATAAAACTTTGCAGTATATATAAAGATTTGTTTTTTTGCAATTGAAATTAACGTGTGCTGAGAAACAAATATTTTTGTAGCTACACATAGAAAAATAATAAATAAACTAATTGTTTTTTATTAAGAAACTATTATTGTAATCGAACCGGAAAAATCGTTAAATTCGTTCGACACTTGATTACTTGGTTCTCAAGAAAAAAAACTTTGCGATTTAATTAGTAGACTTTGTCTTTTTGTTATTATCGGATTGTTCAGTTTCGTATAAATGAGTATCTGATTGTAAACTCCTCGCTCTAATTGAAAAAAACTTGAAAAAACTGCTTTCTTTTTTTTTAGAAGTTGATTTACAGAAATTAGAATTTTTTTTCTTTAGAGGTCAATAAGCTGAAATTTGAAACCAAAATAATAAATATCGTCTCATTTTTTTTAGTTTTCGTTTTTAAAAAAAAACGTTTCTCTTAATTTTTGCAAACAAAAGATGTATTTCAGTTTTAGTAAAGAATCTTTATAGTTAATAAATTTAAAAATGTTTAACAATTAAATTCATTAATAATTATAATGGAACATCTTTGACAAAATATTGACTCTGATCAACAAAAATATCTCCATCTTCTATTATATAATGGAAAATGTGCAATTACTTCTTTTTTAAATAAATATTTAATCATTAATATTTTTCCATAAGAATTAAGATTTTCAAAAATTTCAAATTCAAACCTTTTTGAAAATAAACAACTTATAAAAAATTATTATGAAACATGAAGAAATCGATCACTCCGAGTCTTCGACTCGGAGCGATCGCTTTCTTCATGTTTTATAATAATTTAAGATTATCGACTGATAAAATTATTATTTTATATCATAAGAATATTGTTACTGTAACTTATTCAAAATAATGTTCATCACTTCAATTCATTTAATTTTCTCCAGAATTTCATGAATCACAAGTTTTGAACGTTCAAATGAACGAAATATTTTGTATTAAAAATATTTTCATAAATTATTAATTCGAATAAAAATTTAAAACTTAGATTCTACATTTAAAAACTTTAAAAATTAATTTTTTTGATAGTAACTCAAAATTATTGTCATAAAAATTGAATTTGAGGAAGAAATAAATAAATTTCGTTCATTTGAACGTTCAGAACTTTAGGATCATAGAATTTCTAACTAAAATTCTACTTTAAATGAATTATTTTTTATGATTTTCTAAAAATTTCTTTAAAAATTTTTAAATCCTTTTGTTTATAATTCAATTTTACGAAATTTCATGGATTATTTGAAAATTCTTTGATCAAATATATATTAAAAAATAAAAACTTCAAATAATTTTAAAAAAGTTCCATTAAACTTTTTCAAAAAAATTAAATTAAATCTACAAAATTTTCAATTAAAAGTATGAAAAATTCAAACATTCAAAGATTATAATTTGAAACTTTTTCAAAATTCAATTATTTCTAAAAATTGACGCTTTAATACTTTCTCTCTAAATTTGAATTAGTAAAAATGTTTACTAATTGGAATTAGTGACTGACTTTTTGCTTTTGAACTAGTAAATTTTACTTTTAAATTAGTAGAAATGACTATTTATTAGTAAAATCTGCTAATTCGAAAGCAAAAAATCAGTCACTAATTAAAATTAGAAAACATTTTTACTAATTCAAATTTAGAGAGTTTAATATTCAATTATTCTGCAAAATTTTAACTAAAATTCATATTTAAATCAATTTTTATTAGAAAATTCTACGAGTATTCAATTATTTAAATACAAAAATAAATAATTTATTAAAGAATATCGAATGCTTTTTAAAATTGAACTCTCATTTAAAGAATTTTATGAAAAAATTTTTAAATAGATAATCAAAATTCTTTTGACAAATTTCAAAAAAAAAAAATTTAAGAATAATTTTATTTTTCGAAAAGTGATTAAAATTATATTAAAAATAATTTAATCCCTGTAAAAAATTTAATTGAATTGAGAAAAGTTTTTGAAGATAATTAAAATTTTGCTAAGAATTTTATTAAAATTTTTGAAAATAATTGAATTTTGGAGAAAATTTCTATTATTTACGAAGATAATTGAAATTTTTAAAAAATTTTGACCGCAATTATTAAACTGCGAAAAATTTTTATTACTTTTAAAAATAATTGAATTCTTGAGACGAATGTTTTAATAATATTTCTTTTTAATTAATTGAATTCTTTTGTGAAATTTTATTGAAATAGTAGATATTGGAAATAATTGAATTTTGATAAATTATTGAAATTAATTAAATTTCTACGAAGAATTTTATTAAAATTCTTTTGAAAAAAAATTAAATTGTTAAAAAGAATTTGATTAAAATTTTTGAAAATAATTAAATTTTTTCTTGAAATTTAATTAAAAATATATATATTGACAAAAAATTATTTTAAAGCTTTTTAAAATAATTGAATTTTATTGATATATATATATATATATATATATATATATATATATATATTAAAACATTTAACTCATATCAGAAGAAATTGAATTATAAAATTTTTTCAAAAATCTAAGTTCTTTAAAATTTCTAATTAAATTCATTCATAATTGAAATTTTATAAAATTTCAAATTAAATCCCTTTCATGTTCATCTATTTATGAAAATTGTAAATGCAACTCTTTTAAAATTGAATTAATTTAAAAATATTTAAGTAAAATTATCAAGAATAAGCACAATAACTTTAGAAAAGAATAATTTTCTAGGATTTCGATTAAATTGATTGGTCTAAAATTTAGAAAGTTATAAACATTTCAAAAAAAAATATATATAGCCAAGGTTGGACCTCATAGTCAGGGTTGGACCATATCTGAAAATCGAAGCGCATTATCGGGAAAAAGTAAAATAACATTTATATCCTTGCCGATTTCTTGTTTTTAAATTTATGTTTAATGTTTATTCACATGGTGTAGAAAACTTTTTTTGAAAAAATAGCGAAGGTAATATTCCTACCTTGACTAAGGTCCAACCTTGAATATATGTTTCCCTACAATACAATAGAAGAAGCATAAATTGAAAATTTCCGCATATTTTTGTTCCAGATCAACGAACCGCGGTGGCGACATCAGATTCACCGTGTATGCTTTTGGTTTCATTGTGAGTGCCATTTTCTTGGCAGCAACACTGGCAGCAGGATGGCTCTTACCAGCATCTCACCACGTTCTCCATTGGCGGTGCCAGACACATCATGTCGCTTGCCTCATGGTTGGCGATATCTTCATGGCTATAATACAACTGGCAGGAAACTCCCTGAAGGGCGTATTGTGCAAGGCATTCGGTGAGTCGATGAAAATCCTTTTTCCGTTTTTAATGTAAACTACTTTTTCTCTCCCAATTCTTTTTTGGATAATGCTCCTTCATCTTCACCCTTTTCTCTCTCTCTATATATTTATTTTTTTCCTTTCTTGTCTATATTCTTTCTTGAGCTTTGAAAACTCTGATGTACCAACCCGATAAATCACCCTCTCAGGAAGCAGGGTAGAAAAGAAGGCACGTCATGTTTCAAGCCTGGCAAAATGCAACCTCACTCGACCCTTAAGAACCCATAAATCTTCGCCTTATTTTTCCGCTTTTTTTCTACTTCTTTCATTATTATTTTACTTTATTTTCATTTTTTATTCTTTTGATGCCGTCGCGTCGCGTCGCGCTCTGAACTCTCTTGGCACAGGGTTTACCCTCCTATTTGCGATAAGGTCGAGCGTGAACAGCTAATTGCTGTGATTATGATATCTACGACATAATGTATTGCTCTGTTAGCTAATAATTTTTCTGTTTAGTTGAAAGCATGATAGGCTGCGTTCAGGTCAATTATCGTGTTATTGGACTGATATGCTAATTGTTTTGTCATGATAATAATAAAGGAGGGAAAAAAATTATATGGCACGCGTTGTGACACAAAGAAAAGTGTTACGGAAAATTGTCAAAATGAACAGCGAAAAATTTTTCTCGTTCATATGAAATTAGCACCAGTTTCATAAAAAATGGAAGCTCTTATAACCTCAGTTCTGGGTTCTTTGGGAATAGTTCTGTAGTTATGTGAATTTTTCATTAAAAAATAAAATAATAAATAAAATATATGTATAAATAAAATAAAAATATAATAATAAAATAAAAAGAATTTTGAAAATTTTAAAGTTCTATAAATTTTTCCTACAGCACTTGAGTCAGAACTCAAAATTAACTACATAACTTTGAAAAACTTTGAAAAACTCGAAAAAAATTTTGTCTAACAAATTAAGTTTTGACAAGTAGGTATTTTTTTGTAATAAATATTATTCTTTCTGGAATTTAAATATGTTTGTGCTGTTATAATTAAAAGTTTCACCAATTATGCTAACAATCTTTTTTCTAAAATCAAAATACAATTTTTTTAAATTACAGAACTATTTAAAAATTCGAAACTAATAATTTGATTAACAAAAAGTTAAGTTTTCATAAGTTCTGAATACTGCTCTATAGGTTTAAAATTAAACGTTCCATAAATTATTCGAACTTTTTTTAAATACTTAAAAATGAAGAAAACTACAGAACCTTTAAAATTCAAAAAATATTTTTCAAAATTTAAATTTTTATGATTTCTAATTAGAATTCTACTTTTATAATTAAAAGTTACACAAAATATCCTTTTTCTTTGTGATTTTAGAAGAAAAAGTTATTAAAATTAGTTAAGGTACTCAAATGAGGGCTTACAGAACCGAATTCTGAATATAAAAAAATATATTTTCAGCTTATGAAAAAAAATGTTTTAATATCTGTGAAGCTTTTACTTCTAAAAACAGAAATCCGCATTCAAAAATAATAAAGAACAATTTTTGGAAAGAAAACTTTTTTGCAGTTTATTAAGGTTCATCAGCTCTTAAGATTTTGAGTTTAAGGAAATAGTTTGAACATTTTATGAATTTTATTGAACGCAGAATACATTTAACATAAATATCAATTGTCATAAAATTCATTTAACAAAAGTTTCATGTTACATAAAACTCATGTAACATAATTCCCATTTTACATGAAAATAATTTAACATAAACTTCTTTTGACCTAAATTTCAATTTGACATAAAATTCATTTAACGTAAATTTCACTGGATATAAAATTCATTTGACATAAATTTATTCGACATAGATTTCATTTGACATAAAATTCATTTTATGTCCATGAATTTCATTTTTTACCATAAATTACCATAAATACCATAAATTTCATTTTTGGTATGAAACTCGTTTGAGATAAATTTCATTTTCCATAAAAGTCTATAACACAATTTTCAATTGACATAAAATTCACTTGACATAAATTTCATTTCATATAAAATTCATTTGACATAAATTTATTCGACATAAAATTTATGAATTTTAAATTTAAATTTTAAATTTTTAATTCATGAATTTTTTTTCGATTGCATTCGATATAATTTCTTTTGGTATAATTTATTTTGGTATAAAACTCATTTGACATAAATTTCATTTTACATGAAAGTCTATAACATAATTCTCATTTGACATAATTTTATTCCACATAAATTTAATTTGACATAAAATTCACTTGACATAAATTTCATTTCACATATAAGTCATTTAACATAATTCTCATTTGACATAAAATTCAATTTACATAGATTTCATTTGACATAAAGATCATTTGACACGAAAATATACTCGCAAATTTTAAAATTAATTTATGTACAATGAATTTTATGTCAAATGAGAATTTTGTTGAATGACTTCTATGTTAAATGAAATTTATTTTAAATGACTTTTATGTCAAATAAGAATTATGTCAAATGCCTTTTATGTCAAATGAATTTTATGTCAAATAAAATTTATGTTAAATAAATTTATATCAAATGAAAGTTATGCCAAATGAAATTTATAACAAATGAATTTTAAGTCAAAATATAATTTATATCAAATGTACTTTATGTCAAATGACATATGTGACGCGCTCCCAAGAAAAAAAATTTGAGGTTATGTTTTAAATTTTATAACTAAAAATACAGAAAGAGAATCAATTATTAATTAAAAATTGTTGGTCTTCAAGTCTTCACTATAATCAAAATATTCAATGAATATTGGTTTCAAATTCAAATAATTGAAAATGAACTTTTAATCAAGATAAATCTAACTCGAACCCAACCTATAATTCATTTGCTTCTTAGGTACCTTTCTTGGGAGCGCGTCACGTATATGTTAAAGAAATTTTACCTCAAATAAATTGTCTGTCAAATATAACTTATGTCAATTGATTTTTATGTGAAATAAAATTCATGTCAAGTGTATTGTTACGTCAAATAGAAATTATGCTAGATGAGTTATATGTTAAATTAATTCTATGTCAAATGGCATATAAATTTTATGTCTAATGAAATGTCAAATGGATTTCATATAAAATGTCATTTGTGCAATATAAATTGTCTAATAAAATTTATGTCAAGTGAATTTCAAATTAATTGTTTTTTATACCAAAATAGAATTTATGTCAAATGACTATCACGTCAAATAAGATTTCGGGAGTAGTAACTTTTAAAAATTTTTTTATTTTGTTAAAGTTCTGTACTTCTTAATTTTGCCGAACTATTATTTTCTCTATAAGGAATCTCTAGAACTCCAGCTTTACTATCAAAATACCAATCAGAACTCTTTCTTTATAAAAATTATAGTGCTACATAAAGTTAATATCCTAATTTTTTTACATGAAGTTTTTTAATGTTAATTGACAGAATTATGGAAAAAGTCGTTATTGAACTATAGAATTATTTTCAAAGAATCCAGAACTCAGGTTATAATTTCCATTTTTTTGAAAAAGTGATACCAACTTTACATAATTGTTTTTCTCTTATTTTCATACGCAGTACTAAAAAATCACTGGAAAAAAATCCCTTCTGAACAGTACCAATAAATTCTAATGAAATTTTCCAACTGTTTGTACAAATTAAAGCAAAAAATTTTATCATCCGAAAGTGGAAAGATCTATTTGTGAAGTTTAAACATTGTAAAAGTTTCGAATTTTCCTCTGCATATACATATATATATATAGAAGTACAGGCGCTATTTGCTGATGTGGATTTGAAACCGATCCCGGGTAATTATTCGGATAATCGCAATAATCCCTGGTAAAGCCTGCTTCTCGCATCCCGGTTCGTGTCACGAAAATCGATTACCAATCGAGTTAAACGCAGGTTCTCATTTCTGGTGAAATTCAATTAATTTCCAAGTTTGGCTCGTTTCGATTGCATTTTTTTTTTATAAATATATTTTTCTTTTGGATTCGTGCCAATGGAGAATTTTCTTGTAAAAAGAATCGTCGAAATTGATTTTTAATCCTAGGGTGCAATTTTCTTCTTTATACGATATTTTCTAAAAAAAAAAAAGATCAAAGTTTTCATTTTGGTATCAAGAGGGAAAAAAGTTTTTTATTTAAAAAGAATTTTAGATGGTTTTATTTTTCTATGGAGAGGTATTTTGTCCTCGTTCTCTTTGTACGATTTTTCGGTGCTGAAAGATTCTGAAAGAAGTAAGTTGGCGAGAAACGGATTTGAAATCTTGTTTGGAGACTGAATTTTTGGGGACTGCGAGAAGAATTTTTATACGTGTGTGGCATTCTTACAATGGACAAGGAAATTCAAGAAAGGAGAAAGTATTGAGGAACGCTGACCCACATCTCCCAGAGGGAGGAGAGTGAGTGAGTGAGTGTAAAAAAGAACGCATCTGTCTTCTCTTCAAGGGCTCGGGTTTTGAAAAAAAAGTGCATCTATGCACTAACCTTCTTTGTGACGCATATACATGCCGATTTGTCAATTCATTCCAAGAATGAAAATCATCATATGAATTTCAGTTCAGTAAGTTCGAATAAATTCTTCCAGTCGAACTAAATACGCACATATACACAAGGAGAGAAAATTATATTAAGTTTTGTAAAAGTATTTTATAATTTGGGGAAAAAATGCGACAAAGCCTGGAAAACCTGGAAATGTCTAAGCTAAAGTATAAATGTTTTTCTAAATAAGAAAAAAAGTAGGTAAAAAAAAAATACCGTACAGTGACTAGAGAATATAAATATAGATATGTCGTATTTTGAAATAGTGATTAAAATACCGGTTGGAAAAATTTATATTTAATATAAAAAGAAACTTCTTGACAACGGTGACTATTGCAAAAGAGGCGTGGGATTTTGAATTATGGATTAATTAATATTATTCACCTGTGCGCAAAAGTCTGTAATATTGGTTTCCGGCAGTGTGCGGTCTTTTATAATAAGTTGCATGAGAACAAAAAGAAAAAA